GTCCAAGATTAACCTTCAGGGTGGATATAGCTCGCTAGCAGCCTCGCACCGACGACCTATCCACGTCATCATTAAAAACTCTTGAATCTTGAATATTTAAGGTTTAAACCATAAAAAGAAGCATTTGTTAGTTTTTTCAGACTAGATTTTTAGCAGGAAAATGAGGCGATACTAACGCTCGATGTCGCTGAACAGGTAGGAGCCGATGAAGGAGAAGAGGAGCACCGAGATGGGCAGGGCGCAGTCCGACAGAACCTCCCTCACCTTGGCATGCAGGAAGGGACTGAGACACAGAAACAGGAAGAGTCGGTTAGTCGGGGCGAGACGAGGACTAAGTACCGTCCTCTGCCTCTCGCTCACAGAGCTTTGAGGGTGATTTGATTACTGAGAGCAATCATTAGAATATTAATGTTTATTAAATCACAGGCAGAAATGTGAGTTCTGTAATCTGGAAAGTTTCTGTAAYGTAATTTAAAGTTCTCTGGTGATTTATGTGTTGTGTGGCAGGTCCTCGGTACCTTCGTTTGAACTGGTAGAGAGTGTAGCCCATCCACAGCGTGCCCAGCATCAGCAGCAGGCACAGGACAGGCCTCTCCCTCGTGCACTGGATGAGAGACTCGGGGAACGCTCCGAACACAGACCCGACCGTCACGTCGCTTCTGTTTCCTCCCAGCAGATCTCCAGCCTGAGGAAAATACTCCGTGCTTCTGTTTGCCAGAGTGGCTGAGTGRTAGTACCTATGAAAAACTGGAAGCACGCGCAGAGCATAAAAATAACACCGTTCAGACCTATCTAAAGGTGAAAACAATTAGATTCATTCTGGAGATATAAACAACTACAGCATTGAGCAAACGTCTGAGTGTTTCATTTAGGGAGAAGAATCTAACTTACTTTTTATTGTGCCTTTCACAGCATCAACTACAAATGCAATGGATATAAAGAGAGCAATGACCTCCTCTGTCGACCTACGAAACATCAGGAAAAAAGACTGAAAAGGCTGAAAACAGAACTCCATTGGTTCGTCTCAACTCAAGACAAAGAACTAGTTGATATATTGTGCTGAAGTGAAAATGATCAGTTAAAAGTTGTGTTGTGTGTACAGGTGAAACCTTTTAAAGAGCTTCATCACCAGGCTGACGTTGAAGATTCCTCCCAGGATGAGGAAGAGGCAGTTCCATAAACCGATGCAGGCGTAGAAAGCTGGAAAATCCAGGTTGTAGTCATCACAAATCCCTCGGATCACTGTGAGCCAGCATGCAAATAAAAAGAACCAGTCAGTCAACCATTCAGAGGACCACAGAGCATAAACAACCAATCAACCAATCAGAAAACCCCCAAACCTAACCAACCAATCAGAAAACCACAGAACCTAACCAACCAACCAACCAACCAACCAACCAACCAACCA